AAATACGCGAAAAATATGGATCGATTACAATTTGCAATATTTCTATTGAACACGACCTTTAATGGTTTCAAGTGAGACACGTAAAGTTAGTAAGTAGCAGTACCAAGAATGCCCTAAAGTTGGAATAAATGTCGAGCCTCACTGGAAAAGTACTTCTTACAGGCCTCAGGTAATGTCCTGCATGGCTTTTTTGCCTCCAGTCTTAGTTTGGAATTATAAAATTTTCATTTTAGGACGCAGTGCGTAAATCGGTCACATCGTGTGACGTGATTGTCGTGGATGAAACTATGCACGCATGCAAAGCAATCCTAGATATGAATCAAATCAGTTCACGAGTTTCTTTATCAGTGTTTCTAATGGTGACTTTTCATCAGATAATGCAATTAAGTTGTGGTAACATTGGCTAATTTATCCAAAAAGGAGTCTTTTAAAGCAATATTAAGAAAGTTCATTCTAAAAGGGAAGTAGCAATAATGACATAACTTTACCTTACTTCGAATAACAAATTATATTCAGTCCAGTTCTGCAAAAGAAAGTCTGAAAGATAAAGAATATTATTTTTTCCTTACAATTCTCTCCAATTTTTTTTATAACGCAATTATAATCTGAAGCAATATAGGCTGTTGAAATTCTATTTTCTTGATAGATTGCTTCAATCTCTGATTGATAAATATTCAAGAGTTCCAGGTATGTTCGTTACGAGTAACAGGAAGTCTTGTCGTTCCATTAAATGGCGTCAACATTGAATCAATACTTCGTAAGTTCCCTCAAATATTGCTAATTTAATGTTTCCTTTTATTTTAAAGCATGAGTATCACTGCTTACTTCTGTAGAGTGTTCCAATTACAAACGAATAGCTCTCATGTATTATAGGGATGTCCAGATCATAGCATAAACAGGTAACAAAAGTTAAAACAGCTCGATTTATTCAAAATATGCCATTTATTCCTATTCCCCAAAGTTGGTTCATACTAAAACCCGGACAATCTCGATAAATTTAGATTTTTTAAATTTATACGAGCATAGTTATAGCTTTTTCTCACACGGTCCTTTTCTCTTTTACTCTCATAATTCGAATAGAGAGAGTCAAATGATGTTTAGAAACATTTCACTTGCTTTAAGAAAGAAATTTTTGAGTATTTCGGACATTTATCTTATAGGTGATTATGAAATAGTGTTTGTGAACTTTTATGCTGATTGGTGTCGGTTCTCTCAGCATTTAATGCCAATATTTGAAGAAGCTAGTAATCGATTCAAAGTCAGTCCTTCATCATTATTGTCGAGTATTGAGAGCGATTTTTTTTCAAATAGTAATTCAAGAAGAGTTTTTGTCCTGAAAATATGTAATTTTTCTCCATTCAGTGATGATCCGTAGTGTTTGTATTATTAATACGAAAGCTGCAATGAAGGAATTTCACAAATAAAGAAATTACAGATTTACTGCATATTAAATTATCTCTTTACCTGCTTTATATTTGTTAATACTATGAGAATATAGTGTAAGGTCAATCTAATTGTCGAATTTTAATTAATAATGAGCATGTTCTAGGATCGAGGGAATGCAGTTGCTTGGGCTACTGTAGACTGTGACAGAGAAGGCAAGTTGTTCAAGATGAAATTTGGTGCAACTTACTTGAAATAATTGTTTTAGTATTTAACATTCTAATGTATTTGAATGAAATTTGATTTCAGCTGATATTGCGCAGAAATATCACGTAAGCAAATATCCTACACTGAAACTATTTCGGGGTGGTGAACTTGTTAAGAAGGAATACAGGTAAGGTGCCAGATATCATACAACTGCCATCTAGTGTAGACAAAATGACTTGATATTTACTAATTGTAGTTATTTGTTTCGTAAATGAGTACAAGGTCATTTCTGACACTGAGTATGTAGGACTTTAAAGTTATTTCCAAATTGTTCGTTTTTTTAGAGGACAACGATCCGTGGATGCTTTAACAGTCTTTATCGAGAAACAGTTGGTTCCAGGCATACAGAATTTCTCATCAAATGCTGAACTGGATAATCAGATTAACGTAAGTTGTCATCACGATGTATTTCGACTAACTTACCTGCATTCTCCTTTCCTGCCTTTTCCATTATAAAATTTTTTTTGTGGTTGATTTCAGATGAGTTTTTTTACATTGCAGCTGAGGAAATTTAACGTCATAGCTTACTTCGATCAAGCAGCTGGTCCAGAATTTGAGAATTATCGCAAGGTTGCATCTCTGCTCCGCGATGATTGTGTATTTTGGTTCGGTACTGGTGAAGTCTTTCGACCTGAATTGCAGAAAGGCAACAGGCTTGAATTTAGGCCTCCAAATGTTAGCTTGTTTCCTTGTGTTCTTTGATCTTTAAAAGAATTTAATCAAGCCAATTAAAGCATCTCTCTTTTATAAGGTGATTGTGCCACCAGCGAGACTGCTCATGACTTTTCAGAAAGACTCGGTAACTAGCTATCAAGTCGTCCCACCTACTGGCTAAGTTTTGGACGTTAACATATTGATGAAGTTTTAGTTGTCTTTCCCTTACATTTTATTTAAATTGGTCAGCGTAATTTTTCAGGAGTATCATAATGAAATAATAAGTTCAAACTTTTTTCAGAGCAATGAAAGGGTTGAATATACTGGAGGACTTGCAAATCTAGAAACTTTAAAGTTTGTGGATAATTTTTACAAGTCTAAATTTTTAGTTTGTGTTACATGGAAAATTTGGCTTTTATGTTAGCCCCATTTTTCTTTTTGGAAGTTACAAATGAAAATAATGTAGTAAATGTTCTCTGGCATTTCAGTCATTTCTTATTCAACCTTACATCGACATCGCATTGTGGCTTAGTTGTTAAGGGAGAACAATAAAAAGTGGAAAAGTTTGTGAAAGCAACACAAAAAGAACTTTTTATCACTTTAATTTTTGTTTTGAAATCAGTTTGTTTACTACGAAATATTGTTTTAGACAGTGGATAGTGGATAAATGTGTGCCGCTTGTTCGCGAAATAACTTTCGAAAATGCTGAAGAATTGACAGAAGAAGGCCTTCCCTTCCTTATTCTATTTCGCCATCCAGATGATATACAAATTGACCAAATTTTCACAGAACAAGTTGCTCGTGAACTTTTCGACCAGAAATGTAAGCATTCAAATTAAATAAAAATATGGGGAAGGAAATGCAGGATTTCTTAAAAAATTCATACATGAAAGTGTTTGGTTACTGAAAGAGCTGTTGCTCATTCTTATGTTTCGGACTTCACAATCTTATTCCATATTATTGAGCAAACGAGGAGAAAGAACATTAGAGAAAAGGGGGATAAGGTATAATTTTTGATATATTATAGTAGGCAAGAATTTAAAAATTAAGACGATTTACTTTCAATTTTAAATTTTGATTGCAGATTACTAGATTATAGTTCTCAATTTTTTAGATTCTTTTACAGTTATTGGCACTTTAGTTTTTCTTTAAAATTTCGTTTTACAGCTAGTATTAACTGTTTATATGCCGATGGTAAGAAATTTGTGCATCCTCTGCAGCATCTCGGTAAAACGATGGAAGATTTGCCTGTCCTTGCAATAGATTCCTTTCGCCATATGTATCTTTTCCCGGACATGAAATTATTAACGTATGCCTTATTAGTTTTCTTTGTAAATAATTACCTTAAAAGTCTGAATACTTTTGTCATTTTTAGAACAGTCGGTGTAAATCCATTGAAATTCAAATTTTCGATGCCAGAAAAAATTCGTTTTAATAAGCTGGTTTGGTTAAATTAAGTTTTCACTAAAAAACTCTTTTTGTTGCAGTGTGCCTGGAAAATTACGCCAGTTTATTTTGGATTTACATTCGGGGAAATTGCATCGAGAATTTCATCACGGTCCTGATCCGACGCAAGCTCCTCTCTCATCAGCATCATCTGAAGCTGCACTTGAGAAGGTAGGAATTTCAATTATGTCAAAGTGCATTACCAATATAGTCACGGTAAATACTGATACTATATTTTAGTATAGTAGCCCTTTCACTTATATTGTCGAGTACTTGTTATCACACGTACCTGTCACTTTGGGGTTTTCTCTCATGTGTCTTTAAAATTTAATCACTTCCATGCTTTTCTTTTCTTAAATTATGCAGTGCGACATTTTGCATCCTGATATCTGTAGACGTAATTGTTTCTTATTTTCTGAGAGTGAAAATTGTTAATAAAAGAAATCTTAATCAATGTAATCATTGAAAATCTTAACCATTAAGTTGTTCAGTATAGTGTGTCTGATCTAATTTTGTGACTGCACATAACATTCTTAAAATTAATTTATGATGCCAGTCGTCGCATTCTCTTTAATAATACGCATTACTTTCTTGGGCTCCAGCAAGTAGATAGTCTCCTCAATAACTTCAGAAATTTTTTTTATAGTTTTTCGACACCTGTTTCCACTTGATATTCTCACAGTATAAAATTAGATTTCACAAAGAATCAATTCACACTGAGATGAATATTATTTTGTTTAAATTTCAGGAAGCGAAAGGAACGGACAAATTACAACCACCAACGAGTATATTCAAGCAGTTGAAACCATCGGAAACGCGTTACTCGCTGTTGTACAAGGATGAATTATGAGGTCTTATTATCCATGTTACAAAACATTTCCTAGTCGTTACAAGCATTTTATTCGTTGCAGTTTGATTCAGTTGTTCTGTTTATAAGGATGAGCTTTTTTTGTATGGAATTTGTGCTCTTTTTTTCCTGTTCAAACAGTGTATGGGAGACTGGGTTACGTTGGGAATATTGAAAATCAGTGGCTTTGAGAATATTGATTACTGATCCAGTCCTTCTATAACGTTTTGATTTTTTACTGCTTTTTTCTACGGGTGACTGATTCATCAATCTAGTGGTGTCTTTTGTTCAACTGTTGTATTTGCAATAATTACCAGCGTTGGTAAAAATATAAGTGTTGTTTATGATATTTCATAGGTTTGAAACCTTTTGGTAATGAAATTTTTCGGCTTCTTTACGTAAATTCAAAAATTGCGAAGAGTCGGTTTGAAATTTCATGAGCTTTCAGAAAATTCTCTAATTCTATCTCTTACTAAATTTGAATTTGTTGTATTTTATTTGGGCTCTTCTAGTGTTATTGTCATTTTAAGTCCATTGTTTTTTTCTGCTCTCTTCAATGAGTAATAGGTGACTGCTTTTTCAAGAAATCCCTTAAACTTATTTTTCTTCCCTACCAAATATTATTTAGCTTTTAATAAACTTTGCAAGTTGGAACATTCATGTATTGCGTTATTATGACGGTAAAAATACCTTATAAAAGTTAGACGTTTGAATTGAAATAGCCTCTCATCACAATGTATCACTTCGTTATTGATTGAACATAACTCGGCATTGCATATCAAAAAAGTTTTTATCATTGACGATTCTGCAATGCAAAAATTGTTCGATTTCATATTTCGTAAGTTCAAGGAAAAATAATGCTAATGCATGTAGTATATATTCCAAAGAGTTTTTAGGACTCCATTCGCCAGATTTACCATTCGAATCTACTCTCATTATTTATTAATTGTTCTTTTGAAATGTGTGTAATCTTTCCTGATATTTTCGACTTCACAACATTTATGGATTGAAAAGCGTCTTACCTTATGTAGTTGACAAATGGGATTTTGTAAAGTATCAAAATATTTTAGAAAGGATTTCCTTCCTTTCTGTTTAATTTATCGATTCAAGTAATACTGCACCAGGAGTTGACCTTTTTGTAGAAGTATTCTTTAATTTATTGTTTCAAACAAAATTTTCGTCCAACTTGTAATCATATGCCGTGGTTACTGCGAAGAACTGGATGGTTTCTTGCTTTGGGGGGTGTGTTGAGATGTATTTTTCCCCGAAAGTCTTCAATCAGTACAAGGATGAAATTGTCATGAAAGTGTTTCTGTGGATTGTGTAAATAGAATTGTTTTTTTTTTTTGGTATATTGTGGCTTTATCGATGTGCTTTGTCATATAACTTTGAAGTTGTAGACAAATATGACGTTTGGTCACTTAAATCCATTCTGACCATCAGCACAGATATTGTTTATTCCTAAGAATTGAGACAGGATTATCTTATTGTTGTTATAAGCTCAACGGGATTAACTTCGTATGTTTCCGCGTGATGGAAATTTATTAACCTTTTCATAAATGCTTCGAAACATCAGATTACTGGTTACTTTTGCTGGTTTCGCTTCCAGCCAACTCAAGTAGAAGCTTTCGAAAATATTAGTACTGTGTGTCTCCACCATCGATTCATTTCCCATTTTCTTTGATATCACTTTTTACATTATTTCTTGTACTGCAGTCTTTTTCTTTTCGGAAAATTTGGAAAGCAAAAGAATAATTACTCTTTTTTTAAAGATATGGTTTAAAGATACCTTGTTTACTGTTACATTTTATAACATTTTTCCTCTTAATACTAAATAAAAGTATATTTTCTTATTGCTATAGAAGTACGCATGAAATTAACACACTTCTATACTTTCTTTGTCCAGCTAAGCTAACCTACTGTATACTTCACTGTGCAGATGTGGCACTTAGGCTTATAGAATCCTGATAATATAATTACATACTTTTGTTAGTTATAAAGAATAATGGCAAATAAAACTCTTAATATCCCTCGAATAGGAATGCTGCTCATACAAAGGGAAACAAATCTCGAACTTAATAGATGTTTTCATAGTTGTTATTTCCATTTGTCTTTCAAATGGATCCAAGCCCTCATCATCTATTTATGTTGCCATCATCACCACAGTTTATTTATCATTGCTGCTGTTTTTATAATCATTAATGTGGCAAGTTAAGTGTGCTTCATTATTCAACTATTTCACGTGTAAATAAGTTAGCTAATATAATAACAGTTTTAGCACTCATCATCTTACCAGCTAAAGTTTGATCTTGTATGAAGCTTCCTTTCAATCACAGATTTAGAAACACCACGTTATTCGTTATGGATCATGAGCTTCTGCTTTGATTCATTTCTTTTTATAGGGTTTAGGTTTGCCGTTTACAATATTTTCCCTATAATACCAAAGAAATCATTATGATTACGTGCTTGTTTTCTAATTTTTCATAATTCGGTGAAATTTGATGGGAATATTTTGGATGTAACCACTTGCACGATTTAATGCACTGAACTGATGATTTTGATTTAGTGAGGAAATTTTCCTTTCATCTGAATGTTCTACACCGGAATAAGCTTCTTTTTTCATTATTTCGAAGGTTCAAGTGTGGATCTTCTAATGCGTTATGGAAAGCGAAGCATCTCACATAATCTACGAGCAAATTCAAAATAATCCACCAAAAGATCGCCGTATTTTGTCTATTCAAAGTCATGTTGTACATGGATACGTTGGCAACAAGTGTAGTGTTTTTCCAATGCAGGTATATTCTTCCGCTGCTCTACATCTGAATACTTTTATGGTCTTACTTTTCCAATAGGTACGTTCCAGAGCTGTAAGCTTGCTGAAGGGTACAAGTCATATGGTAGCTAAAAATAGTCAATAGTTCGGTCAAATTACTAATAGCTTATCAACGGATGATATGACATATTATTTTAGCTTCATGGTTATGAAGTGGATCCGATAAATTCGGTACAATTTTCCAATCATTCAGGTACTCTTTATTTGGTAATTTATGATATGACTCAATAATTTATGATATTTCCACTTGACCTCATATGCATTGTATGCATCATCATTTTTTAAATTTTTGGATTCGAATTGATTTGCGAGTGGTTATTTCAAACATATAAAAAAAAGATTGATGGTATATGTCTGTTAGCGGATGGCAGTTGTTAACATCTGAGGTCAACTGGAAGTTGTTGGTCGTTACTTTTAATTTAACTGCTCGGCTGACAACTTAATTATAATTATTGTCGTTTTGTCAAACTTTCTGATGATTTACTTAATGGGAAAATTTGAAAATCTCAAAGCCAAATTGGCGAGCAGTTGAGAATTTTAAATTTGAAAAGCTTTATCTGTAAAATTTTAGCATATAAACTGATGAAAGGTCAGACACTGGATGGTGTACAACTGAATGATATTTATGAAGGCTTGAAAATGAATGGAGTTAACAATTATTCACACATTTTAGCAGGTACTACTCTCTTAGGTACCCATAGACCGTTTTAGCATTTCATACAGTATTGAATTTCGGACTCTAGTTTTCTTTCCAATTTGCATCAGATATAAGCACTTCGAACAAAACCGATTTTCCTGAACGTTTCGTCATTGCCAAAATTAAAACACTGACTCTCAACTGCAGCTTGTGAATCGTGTTGATTTGAATGATTTTTGATTAAGACAGCGATTTCATTTCTGGGAAATGGTCACTATATGAAATCCCGGTGTAAGGTTTTAAGAATAATTTTTTGATTGACTAATCCTATGTAGTAACTTTTCGCTATTCACTTTCTCATCTTTTCAGGATATTGCAGGAATTCATCATTTCTGCAAGGAGTTATTAATATAGTTAAAGATTTGAAGCATAAGAATCCAGATATTCTTTTCTGTGAGCGTTTACTTCTTGTTACTTAGAATCTTTTAGTTGGCGCTTTATTGCCGTTATACCTAGAATGTTCCTCATCTATCCATATCTTCCCACAATTGCGGCTTATACATTTAAATAAAATAAAATATGAGTGATGTAAGATGAAGCTTTTATAGTTTTTTCATGGTACATTTCTGAAGGAAAACCGGAGGTTGTATAGTTGTTGTAAGTCAAACAAAAATCTTTTCCAGAAGTTAATTTCCGAAAAATAAAAAGTTTATTTCAAATATATATATTTGCAGACTGTGATCCTGTGCTGGGTGATAACGGCCATTACGTAAGTTGTATTGCAAAAATGAGATTAAGTATTTGGCACAAATCAGTAAAAGTTTGGCTATAAAGTCAATTTTCACCTCTTCAGGGAAGTTTAGTTCTGCTAGAAATTTTAAAATTTGAATTTATTTTTGTTTAGTATGTCCCGAAGGAACTGATGCCAATCTATCGTAATACTGTAATCCCTCTGGCTGATTTGATTACACCAAACGTTTTTGAATTATCGTAAGTTCCGAAGTTTTAAATTATGGGAGAAATAGACTTGAGTGCTTAATTTTGAAAGGTATAAAATATTCTACTAATAGTAATTACTATTTCATTTTGTGATAGGTAGATCAGATAAGAGATGAACCATAATTTAGAAAATAGATGGTATGCACCTTGTAAACTTTTATAAATTAAATACTGTACAGAAATGGTATTTTGACTATAGATTACTCATGCATAAAAATCACTGTTTAATTGTCGCCGGACTAATGATTGCAACAAGAATAAAGAGCAAATCGTAAGGGTAAACGGTAAAAAGTAATGAAAAATTTGTCTGAAACACTGATAAAGTGAGATAAACGTGAAATCGAGCAAAATAGACCAAAAACAAAAAACTGACCTCATCAGTTCTGCTTTATTTATTTATCTATTGCTAACAGTGATGGTCTTGTTTAGTTTTGTCTCTTATAAATAGATAAGAAAGCAGATCTTTGCTATATTTATAAAAAATATGCTGAGAATTGTCGAAGGACTTAAAAGAATTAAATTAGATTACTGGTGCACAAATCTCTTTGCTATTTACAAGACTTAGGCTTTAAACTTGAGGTACTTGCCACATTTCGCAATGAAATTCGAATTTTTGGTATGAATAATGAATTTTGAATGTAACTGGTTTTTTTTTGCCAGTGAACTTTCTGGTTTGTCCATAAATAATGAGCAAGAATGTTTGGAAGCAATTGATTTAATGCACAAATCTGGTGTTAAAATAGTGGTTGTGACAAGTGGCCTGGAAACGCCAACTACAAAATTTTGTTATGGATCTATTTACAGAGGTGTCTTTTCGTATACTCCGTCAATATAATTATTTTGAATTTATTTTTGTTGTGAGAATTTTGTGAGTGGTAAGACTGGTTTAATAGTTGCAGTTTTTGCAGTTTCGAATGGCATTAGGCACTTTTAGAATTATAAAGGACGATTTCAAAATTTTATTGAATTTACATCCAAAACATATTTCCGGTGATATTTTTTATTTAGGTCCTAATGAACGAGCCTTGCAATACCGTTTCGATATTCCAGCATTACCAGGAAAATTCGTAGGTACAGGTGATGTTTTCATCAGCTTACTCCTTGTTTGGATGGATAAACTAAACGGTGATATTATATTGGCTATCCAGAACGTTATTAGCACTTTACAGGGTATACTGCAACGAACTGCAAACAAGGCTTATTGTGAGATATTAAATCCCTTGGAAAAGTCACTGGAGATTTGTTAGAAATTTTTAATTGCATTTTTTTAAAAATTGCAAGATGAAAAAATATTTCATTTTATAGATTTTAAAATGAAATATAACTTTTGAAGACAATTCAAGATTTTGAAGATTTAATTCCAAGTGGAAGTCAGTACTTACTTGGATAGTCCAAACATAAATTTGATTTTTTTCACTATTTTGAATTATCTGAATTCAAGGGAATGTTTTATTTGTAGTTCAGCAGAATCCGGAAGAATATACTCCAACATCGGAGGAGTTGGAGTTACAATTGGTGCAAAGTCGTTCGGATATACTCGCTCCGCAAGTCACCATCAAGTCAACAAGACTTCAGTAGTTGTAATTCATATCTCAATCTATTAACGTTTATTCCAGTCTAATACAGAAATATCAAATTTGTATGTGCAGCTTTTTCTGAAATTCATCTTCTAAATATGTATATATTAATCCATTTTTATGCCGTTCCCATAAAACCTTATAACTGCCGCCACAGAATTCTGAGCAATATGATGGACGAATTATGACTTATTGCAATAACCATTGAGAAGCCGTATTGTACTAAGTTCTTACTAATCTGATATTGCATTTTTAAATCTCATTTGATGTAATAATTTCAAGTAAGTAATTTTTAATTCGTCAATATATGCTGGAATAAATCATTACGTCGTTATAAAATCTCTGGAAGAAAACCAGTTTCTCACGGAAGTCACTCCATAAAAAAAATGATCTTAGTAATACATTCGATGACCATAGCTAATTTGAAACTCATGAAGCAAAATTATCTCATTAGAAGAACTGATGTACCTGAGTTGAACCAAGTATTTAGTCGGAAATCAGGAATTAATCAATAGCTCAATTTCAAGAATTTAATCTTTTTGGAGATTTCCGGAAATTGCTTGGAACGCCTGATGTTATACAATTAATATAACTGACTTCATTCAAGCATATTATCGAGAATACGCTCTTCACCTTTCTCCTTGGATTATTCAGAGAAAGAGATCATGATCGAACGATGTATTTTTTTCTCTGCAGAGAGAAAATAAACATATCTCAAATAAATAGAAGATGAAGAAAATTATTTGTAATGTCTTTTTTACATTGAGAATGCATGAAAAGGAATAACATGCAAGTTAGCTTTGAGAATACAAATTCCCTGGAAATGTAATGTGACTGGTCCCTTCCTTGGATTTCCCTATTGTTAAATAAATTTAAAGGCTTCCAGATGCGTTTCGGTCGAGTTATTTTTGTTAACTTTATAGCATCACTTTTTTAAGATAATCTAGGGTATCATCATCCATACATTAAATCCGAGGTTATCGATTACAAAAAGTGACGAATTGATCAATCACTATGTCCTTTTTTCTTACACCGAAAACATTTCCCTACTTTCCGGGAATAGTTCTTTTCATCTGCAAATAACTTGGCATCATATAGAAATGCCAGGTAAATGGTAAAAATATGAAAAGTTTGCAGTATGCTACTGATTATAATTCTCTATTTCGGACCAACTGATTGTCGGGATTGTGTTGATAACGTGAATATGCATTCAGCTTCTTAGTGCTTCGACTGGAATCTGTAAAAACTTCTGAGTTTTCAACTAATTCATCATATTTAAGAAAAAAAACTTATTTTCTTTGGAAGACATCAAAAACACAGAAATCCAAATTTAAGGATATCTGTGAAACAAATGATTATTTGTTCGACTGGTGCTTTCATGACAAAATTTCGGGCGTATCTGATTACGGCAGATCGAAACACCGTGCAAGTCAGGAATGACTTCATGGTACAGAAATTGGGTGGCAATGAGTATTTTACGGATTTAAATATTAAAGTCTGACATGATATGATATGATTTATGCAAACTATGTCTTATTTTTATTCCATCACCTTGACTTACCTAGTGTAACACAAATAAAAGCAATCATTGCTGGACTAAACTATTAATAGTTGAGTTCGCCTGTCAGTTACATCCTTGCTTTTTGAAACATGTAATTAACAATTTTGCAGCATCGCGCAACCACGACAACTCCAACGCATTACTCATTGTTGAGAAGTAATACTTAGGTAGCTGATGTAATCTTTATTATCTTAGAAATCTTTATCACCAACTGAATCATTCATGTCAGTAGTGCGAGACGCATTTAAACATAACCGATACAATGCTTATGTATTAGTTATGTTTAAGTGCATCTCGTAAGTGCATGTTTTTTGGAAAATCCAATAGTTTTCAATGTAAATTTTTAACAAAAAGTATTCGAAAAATGAAAAAAAAAGACATAAAAGAAGCAAATAAACTGACCTTTCAATACTTCAAACTGTTATCAGTGGTGATATGAAATACACGGATAGAGATAATGCAATTGATGACTACAACACCTAAATGAATAATTATGGATGAAGGGGAAAGAAATGACAAGAGTATATTATATTATAATCTTGGCCATGAGGTGCATTTGAAGAGATTTTTTTTATGGATTTTCCGTCGGTGCCAAAAGGAAAAACTATTTGACACTTTTGAGAGACGCGAAAATTCCAATATAATTTTCGTAGCAAAAAATGTACTGACAATTCAAAAACTCAAGAAGTGTATCCAGCGATATTTATGCTTTTTTTTTTTTGTTCCGAAAATCACTGCGGCAATGTCATCCATTTTTACAATTTGTTTTCCTGTATATTATTATGCACTCTTTGAGGAAATGAAATTCTTCGGCAAAATAAAAAAAAAAAAAATGAAATTATCGATGCGATTGCATCAGAACGAACATTCAACAGACGAAACTATTGGTATTGTTATGCAGGAATCAAAAGCATCTTAGCCAAATATGAACTTTTTAATATTCTATGGAATCGACCGACCTTGTAAGTGACCCCCGTTGTTAATTCTGGAAGAAAAAGTACGCCAAACATTATGTGATGAAAGTTCATTGAGTAATCCATTATTGATGATGCTAATTTGATTTGCATCCATGGTGCCTTATCCTTAGCTGTCTCCAGTTATCAGCCTAGCTGTTTTCCTTCTTTCCTCCACCGCTCTCTCCCCGCGCTCATCCCCTTTGCTTTACTTACGTGCTCTAATTTCCCTAAACTTATCAACCGGAATTTCCACTCGTTAGCAGATTAAATATTAGAAATTTTAATACAACAGGTTAGTGTAATACTTCCTTTGCAATAACAAAACAATTTAAGGTCTTAATAAGAGAGAGAGAGAAAGGTGAAAATGTTTGAAATGAAAGTTTATTTCTATAAGAGAGCTAATTCAGAAAGCGCCATCACAGTTCGCTTCTAAAATATTCACCAGTTCATTTTATTATATATTATCGCACGTTTTTTCAGCAATAAAAGCTTTGCTTATTGTAAATGCCATTTATTTTCCTTTTCATTCAGCACAATGTTATGATTAAGAATGTAAGACTTATAACTCTCAATTTACAATTTTTTTTTGGAAAATTAGATAATTAGTCATTTCTCTGTTAATCTTTGTTTTTTTAAAGTGCATTTCACTGTTGGATACTTAAAAAATTAGAGGAAAAAAGAAAAAAGAATAGAAGTTTCATTTGTTTAAGTGATTGTTAAACGTAAAACTGCAAGTTTACACCAACAATATTGATTTAAAAGTTAGCATTTCAGAAATAAGCATTGAGCTTCGGAATGGTAATGATGTTGATCTTTTTACTACCCTGCAAGAACTGAATTTTGTTTGAAATGCTATTTTTCAATATATTTACTTTGACTGGATAACTAACTTTAAATCAGGTTAATTTTATTAAATGAATACAAAATGGACTAATTTCAAATCAATCTAAATTTCTTAACTCTCAGATTTTTTTTTTGGTGAAATTTAAATCCGGACAAGCTTTGCAAATTCTGGCATTGAACTGCAAAGAATTATAAGATTCATCTAAACATGGATTTTTCATACAGTTCAACAAAATTATTGATTGTTTGGATTTCCGTTTAACGAAAAATAATTGATAATTTTGACGGATCGATAGGAACCTTCATTTTCCATTTCTTTCTTTTCTCTTCATGAGAGATTATTTCATTCCTTATGATGTCGGACTGAGTGACTTGCGAAAAGCTGTATTATTTATTAGTTTTAATTAGCCATCCCTAATTTTTTTCTCTTATTTCCGTTTCGGAATTGATCTATTATTGATAGCATTTTCATAACTGGCCGACCTCTTTGAATGATTTAATCAAATTTGTTTAATTCTACTACAATTTTGCAAAAAATGATACAATTAATGAGACAAAAACTCCATGTTTTAGCTGAGAGTGAAAGTCTAGTGTATTTAGAATTTTTGCTTAATTAGGTTTTTCAAGGCTCGTGATGACATCTGACAGAGAGAGCCAACAAAGGCCAAGCTTATTTGCTCGTAAAATACATTTTTCAAGTCTTCGTAAAGATAAGATCTATAATTGCACATGGAAGAATCTGTTGAGAAGCCAAGATCCTCGAAGAAGGCATTTGTCGAAATTACACGTATATCTATTGATGAGTCATCGCTTGATCTACGAAAAATGTATGCTATTTCGTCATTGTGCAATGAGTCACAAATATTTGCGAAAACCATAGGTCTATCGCATGACGCATATTCAGTAGGGTCTACCCTTTTTAGATCTCCATGTCCTTCCCTGTCACACGTTGGCCTCACTTCTCTGCTCCGACAATCTCTTTGTTTTCTTACAATTTAATAGCCGTAAAACTTCTAAATCATTGTTTTTGTGAAGTATGAATTGATGGTTTCACCATTTTACTTTGATGACTCAACAGTGGATGTGTCTTTCTTGGTGACATGCCCGGAAAAACAAATAGTAACTTACGGCAATATTATCTGTCAGGCGTCAAATTATTATTACTGTTAATTAATTACTTAATTATTGGTTTTTTTGTTCCGTCAATTTTTGCAGTAAGGAAGCTCACTATTCAGATCATACTAATTCTGAAATTATCTCGGAAGTTTTTTATTGGTTTTAACCTTGAAGTTTCCCATGATTCAACATATTCTCCAAGAGAAAAGGCTTTTGAATAATTATTATTTTATCGATCACAGTAACGAATTGAGATATCGTAATTTGTCTGCTATGGAGAAAAAAAATAATATAACTGTTATTATATATAATTGTTAACATCACTGAAAAATACAGCTGCTATCATATCTGCCACTAATTATTATCATCATTATCAGTGTAAATTATCTATACCATGTCATACCATACCATACCTTATACCATACATTACTTCTGTCACACCAAACCGTGAATAGAGAGATGAATATTCATTGACTTCGATAATATTTCGCACATAGAATTACAGTGTTGATGACCTTTTTATTATATTTATAAAAGACAGCATGTAACGAGTATGAATAATTTTTCCATCGAAAGAGATTATCTCGTTTGAATGAACGAGCGGGACAATGTCTATGATTGTCACAATCATGACTAAATTAATGATAAAACTGACATTTTAATTGGGGACAACTAATCAGAGAATAGGCAGGTAGCATAACTTGGATAACATGGAAAGAAAAGTGATTGGCATCTTTTATCGCAGGTCAAACAAAACTTACTGCAAGTTAATCCAAGCACGCAATCATTAATTACTTGGTAATTCTATCGATTCTTTGCTATTAAGGATATTTATTTGTTTAAATTGTTTTAGGTTTCCGATCTGTCCATCCCATCTAGTTGTATTAGAAGAATTAATGACCTAAGTCTATTCTTCCAATATTTTTTCTTTTTTTGTCGAAGAGAATTATTCAGAACAGTTGAGCCTTCCTTCCCCTACAAAAACAATGAAGAAAAAGTGGAAGAAGTGCATATAAACGTCAGATATTCGGCAATTTATCTGGAATGCACTGGAAGCAAACAAAATTTCATCCAATCGTCACCAACAGACATCACCGCCCCTCTTCCCTTCCATCTTCTCCTTCTTTTCTTTCATCAATAGTTTTAGCCTTCGATCAGCAAGCCTTCTTCCCTTTTCCTATTTTTAGTAATTTTAATACAATCAGTGCTTCCAACAAATTCTTGATTCTCTTATCAATGCCACTTATTTTATTTTTTTTTCAATCTAATCTATTAAGAGCAATGATTACGACAGATATGATATTGCGATATACACATCGATAGGGCATGGAACCAACCATTCCTTAATAAGTTTTTAATTTGCGTCAGCTTGCTATACCTATGCCTAATTTTTCATAAATTATCCGAATTTTGAACTGTTCTAGCACGACTAATGATTAATTAAGCATTGATAACACCACTGACAGCAACATTTTGGGATCATCTACATTGAGTTCCCCTGATAGCATTCAAATGTTGGTGATTCAGATTTTAAAACTTATCTGTCTGCGTAAGTCATCTTCACTGCGTAAGTCATACTTATAATCATATGAACGATGTTATCGTTATCAGTTTATCTTCACTTGAAGATCTGAAAAATATTAGGATTAATTCATGCAATCCATCTTATTCGTGCAATATGCTAACTCATAAATTTAGATTTTTTGCTTTTTGGATATCATTTGTGCGGAAAATCAAAGATGATATGCTGAGGCAATCGTTTCTCTGTCCTATTCGTAAATATCAGCAAGCTAATTAAAATAGGTAGCATTACTGATATCGCTTTAAGAATGATAACGTTGATGTCAGTGATAGTCGTACTTATTTAGCACGTTCAATCAAAGTTACGAAAACAAACAGAGTGTAAGAGGGTTAAGATTAAAGTTTCCTCTCAAAGATAATCTGATTTTTCTGATAGTTTATAAAATTTTAATCATTCCAAATTAGGCTTAATTTCAGGTATGCAACATTTGAATGGTAATTATTGTGCGTGGGAGGATTTTGTTTTTCTGAACACTTTCTTAAGATTTATTTCTTCTTTCACTATTCCAGTATTTAAATCAAAAAATGGAATTTGAAAAATCATTCCAATTTGAAAAGTGGAACAAAGTCATTCTAGTTTGGAAAATAAAAAAATTCCACCACTTCTTTTTATACCAACTGTAATTATCAAGTATGAATTTCATCCGCTGCAATCCTTATATGAGTCATGCATTTTTTTTCTTTCCATTGAGTTCAATTAGGTTTTCCGGTTCAGTTACTGAGATTGATTAAATTTTAATTTGTAATCAAGACGTAATGGAATAGTATCTGTTTTGAAATAAGGCAAATACGCAGTTAAGATCATAATCCAATGAATGTTTCAAATATTCATAGTAACGTTGATGATATAACTGTAATTATGATTACATCAATGAACAATTCTCTAATCGATAACGACGGTGACAAATGATTCGCGTTATGAAAGTCTGCTATCAAGTATCAACAATTCAGAATATTCTCCAGAAACGTCTAGCATTTGCTAATGTAAGTGGAAGTTGGATAATTCAATGATTATTACTAAGGAAATGGGTAAGTTAATACATGACAGTGATGATGATAATGATAATAATGACAAAGATCGTGATATCTATAACAATAACAAGTAATTACATAATGCGGAAAAGAGTTTTTTTTTATTCCAATTTTAAAGCTGATTATTTTAGAACATTCTATAAGGCTTTAAACTGGCATTTTCGGACTCCTTCGGGAATTTATGAGTCAATTTAACTGACTGATTTATTCCACCCTGTTACCACAAAGTGTTGTTACACAGGAACAACGTGGAATATTCGAATCTTATTTCCTTTTTTAGTAATATACTAAGTATTAAGTTGGAATTTTTTTCTCTTTATGGAAATTCCACTCCGTTGAGCTTTTCTGATCTCAAATGGATGCTCTCTGTCCATTTCCCTACTTATTTTGTTTATTTGTTTGTGTTTGTTTTTGTTATTTACTAATCAAATTATCTTCGTTAATCAACATCTCTCGTTTTCATTCATTTGCATATTATTTACTGCTATAATCCTTCGACATCAATAAATTCTTTTTGGTACTTTCGGCTCTGAAAATGGTGACAAAGAGTGGCTCAGGATGTAATTCATTGCCCCCCCCCCCCTTCTAACTTTAATTAGTCATTAAGCATTCTTTTCTCTCATTGCAAAATTCTAAGCCATTTAAATGAGTGCCATATGTAATTGCATGTAGTACGTGAAGCAAAGATGACATTAAAACTTACCAATCTTCTCTAGAAAATACTATATTCTGATGTAACTAATTGCATATAACACTTATCAGACTTAGTTATGATCAATTAAGTGGTCATGAAGAGATAGATTGTATGCATGGAAGTCAGAGTTTCTCAAAAAAATTTTTATCATCTTTACATTTTGATGTATTCTTACAGTCTGCAACTTCCCATATTTTAATAGCCTATTAAATGATCCTAAAAAAAAGTTGTTGCACAATAATAAATTAGAGAAATTTGGAAGGTGTAATTGATTGTTTGTGGAAAATCGTGATTTTTCCCGGGTCGTCCAAATGCAAGCTGTTTTCATACAAAACTTTAGATTTTTAGCTTTTCTAGAAATGGAGATTGGCTTTCTTGCAGAAGATTCTTGTGTTTCTTATTTATAATCTGAAATGGGTGGGTAATGTCCAAATAATTCACATCATTTGGTCCTCAAATTTGAAACAAATGATAATTTGTTTCTAATGAATGAAAGATACAAATGGTTTTAAATTTAACATATAATTAGCAATTAACTATGAAAATGTGCAGTGTAAGTTTTACCTTTTCCAATGGCAACTATCCTTCTCAGTACTCTTTTCGTCACTCGGAAAAATTTTCTGCTATATTCTAACTTATGTCACGATGTAAAACAACACCAGGGCGATGGCTACGGTAACCGCATCATTCCCGATTAAATAATAGCGATGGAAATTGTTTAAAGCTTTGGAAATTATATTCAGTGTTACATGGACACTTCAGCACGGCGAGTTGATATTCAAATTGAATTTTGGAAGAAGTATGTCTTTGCAGAGAATGAAGCGTTATTTGCTTTATTCTTCCTCTCCCAGGCTTCTTAGCTCTCCATTTCGGTGTATTGGGCCAAAAACTAATACCCCAAATTTCAGCTTTTTTTTCTTTGCTCCTTCTGTTCCCATCTATCAGCAGATTTATTATTTTAAAAAAATTCTTCGTTCAAATTCTTTTTTAATATATATATTACTGATTATTGTTCAGCCATGTAGAAGAGCATTCTGCGACGTTTAGAATTCCAATTATCAGCGATGTTCTTGGCCGGACTTTTTGATCAACATAGGGACAGACCCACTATTAGTTTCCTAATTTTGAAATACATAAGGAAGGCAACAGGCGTGGAAATTACCCACTCTCATGAGGAGATAATGACAAAAAATAATGAGACCATTCTCTTTAAGGCCGGTTATCGGAATGGGTACAAGGGTACTAGGCATTGAATAAAATGGACAGCTTTTTGGAATAAGGATAGAGTATGGTAAAATTCAACAAAACTTTAAAATTTAAAAGGAGAAAAAAGTGCCAAGCTAATTTAAATAGTCCCATTGATTGATTTTAAGCATTTTGGTGGGCGAAAAACAACTTTAAGCACTTTTTATCTTCCTAAAAATTCATTTCCGCATGTTATTGAAGATAAACGAAATGCTTTTCGGGATGATCACAAAAAACATTGGAAGTGGTAGTTGAAGCACATTTTCCTCTTCTTGAAAAAAAAAAATAATCCTAATTTTTTACTTTCGATTCACTGCAATAAGTTCAGTTTTTTGAACTTAGAAGTGCTCATTGCATTATCCAATAATAAAATTAGCAATCTTCAAGGGATCTAAAATCATATCATACCTCATTGACAACATCTTATCATATCTTTTTAACAATTATAATGCTTACTCCGTCTTGATTTACAAAATGTCATCATTTGCCATATTCGACTCTTCGTGAAAATCGTTCGCTGTTTGCTTTAAATTATGAAATGAAATATATTTATTGCAAAAAAAGAATTGTCTATCATTTTTATACTTGATGATGCTTAAAAACAATTATTTTGCGGAAATGTTTCAAGAAAATATTGAAAGCTTAGCTCTTGAATTCATGAGGAAGACAGCTGGTCATCGAAGAGTTGCAAAAACAGGACAAACCGGAAAAGTGTCTTTTCATGCTTACAAGAAATTTATGAATCAATGGATCGTTTACTAGGTACTTAGGATATATTAGATTTTTCAACAGTCAGTAAAGTATTTGTTAAATGATGAAGAACTGGACATGAAGTAAAAGAAACCTTTGGGAGGTTGAATCATTTCATACATAGATTGAGTTCATTTGATTTTATTTTAAAGTTAACACTGTCATTTTCCCATTAACAAAGTCCTCTGCTGAAAAAACTGTTGAAGAAAAAAACAGCTGCGCAGACGTATAAACCGAACAAACTTCCTGAGAAGACAAGGATCAGGAACTCGATACGGCTAATTAATCAATGAAGTACTACTACTCATCGTGTTCTACCAACTCTACAGATTATATATTTGGGGATAGAACGTCGATCGATCAATCAGTCTGCAGATAGAGTCATACAAACTTGTTGATAGATGTAATGAAATGGTTGGATCTTAGATTGTTAGTTAGCTTGAGTGGAACAGTTTGCCAAAATACTCCAGCACCAAACATTTTTCTAAAAAAAAGGTAGAACTATTGGAGATGGTAGGATGAAACAACAAATGCAACTTTGATAACAGTTGATCAGGCAGGTGTTATCTGATTAAAAATGAAAAGAAAGGATGTTAGTAGTTAATTCCCATCGAAATGGTTGCCGACATCTTGTCATGACTAGAATTCTAGGTTTAAATTTTTACCTCATACTAGCAAGGATTGTTGTATATGTAAGAGGTTTTGAGGATACTGTTGCTTCAGTTTTAACAACAGTACCAAGAAGCAGCCAATATCTGCGATAACAAATGAGCCGAGCGATGAATACATATGTTTGTCTGGCTATTATTACCATTTAATAGGAGTTTTTATTCCTTCTACTTTTTGACCCTTAAATTTCTCGTTTCCTCCAAAATATTTCTCCTAAATTGAGGTATTTTTCTCATAGTGATTATCTGTATTATGCAAACCGCAATAATTTGAAAAATGCCGAAAAGTCGAACTTAGGTTATAGCTTGACAGTGCAAACCGTCGATAGCCTGAGATGACTAAATAGTTATCAGCCTATGATTCTTATAGAGAACTATGGAACCTGGGGGTTTTCATAATTCATTTGTATTTTTATAGTATTGATTGAAAGGTAAATGTTAGGGATCTCGGTTTCGAATCTCGGTTATGTCATCCATAAGTATCGTTATTATCGGAATAGTCATGCCATCACTGTTTGGGCATTCTTATCATTTTTTCAATTCATTTGTATTGTTACTTCAACTGTAATCAAATCACTGTAACGATCCTTCTAGTTCACCGTATAACTGTTACCAGTATAGTTGATTATATATGAAAAGTAAAGGAAGATTTTTCTTGTTAATTCAAGATGTGCCGAATTCCTGCTGAATTTACCAAGATTAGGATCGAGACAGACGCATCATTCTATTCATTTGTTTGTTTATCTCTCTGATAAATTTCCTCTTCACAGTCGCTTTATTAACAAATACACAAGAACTGAGTATCATTTGAAACTAGTCCTGCACTTGAAAGTATGTTTCATTTATTGGGACAGGTAGTCACAGCATCGGTAGTATGTCGGCATCTTCGGTATAAAATATATTTTATACATTTGACTGGATTCATTTGTTCTTCTAACATAGGTTTAATTTTCCACTCCTTACAAAAAAGGGTTCCAATTCCAATTTACTTCTTTTTTTCTCCACTTTAACAAATTATTCTTAAATTCCATTAGTGTTAATTTTGCTCGGAAAATGTACTTTTCTTTCAAAAGTAAACATTTCTTGTTCATTCTTGTTCCTTGTCAAAATAAAAATATTTTCTTGCTGTGTGAACTTAGTAACAAATATTACTTCTGCTCTTCTCAATTAAGCTCCAAATAACTAATAAAACAATTTTTTTTCTTCGAATAATTGATATCTTGGAATAAGTGGTTCGGAGATTTATTAGACGAGACATTTTAATTTGAGAATCTTTCAAAAAGTCTACCCACAATGTTATCATGTAATGCTGGATGATGAGATTAGTTTGGCTCCAAAATATAAGAAAGAAGCAATAGAGCTTCCGGAATGAACTGGCTTCAAAATAAATTTCATAGCAATTCAAGCAGAATTTTATATTACAAAAATTTGTAATTAAAAGCACATAAAATAAAAGCTTAGTAATACCACCATAGTTTTGCGTAATTTCATGTTCGCCTTGTTCTATATACTAATCTTAAGCTTCTGTTAGGCTCATTTTCTTACTCAGTAAATTTTGCTTACTGTCATTTTCAAAAAAAAAGAAAAATTTCGAATTTGTTTCAAAATGATGAATATCCTAAAAAGTTATAGTGGATAGCTGAGTAAACATATAATTAAATGTTGTTTGAAATAAAATGATACACATAGCTCGTCGAAACAGTAACCCACCGTAATCAGGAGATGGATGATTACTCTTCCACAGGTGACAATAACCGAAGCCGCCAGGTGCGTTAAAGTAATAAAAAAATAACTGACAGATTCTATCCAATGATTTTTGGGTTTTTAACGCAGAGAAGTTTTCCTTGTCACATTTATTTCATATTCATTTGCTTACTACTGCGGGTAGTTGAACTCTCATACTGGAAATGAACTCTACCCTTTCAGGGTCACTCCAGGTCGCTTGTATTTGCAGATTTCTTTTTATTAGGTTCTTCATATAATATTGTAGCTTAGCTTTTCTCTCATAGATCTGCATCCTGAATCACTGGAAATTAAGGGGACTGCCATGCCAACATTCTATGAACATAAAAGCGCTTCAATCGGTGATTCTCTTTATTGGAATTGATTCCGAATTGCCATCACATCATTGCCAATAATTCTCTGTTAATGAAAATGAAATTAAAATTGGCAAGAAAGACTAATTGACGGAACCGAAACAATGGATCGAAATTGAACGCTGTAGAGTGAGAAAAACAGTGAATCAGAAGTGGGGAGAAGATTCGTGTTGAAATAATTTGAGGATCAGTCGATTGATAATTTGTAGGGATTCATCAATTAATCGTACTTGTCTTTGCCATTTTCAGTTCGGATTTGCTCATCGGGAAAGAAATTTTGCATTTGACGAAAGAATGCCGGCACTTTTGACGATTACCATTGATTTAATATTTTTTGAAATTAATTTCGTTAATGGAATGTTAATTAATTGGGATACATGCAATATGTCGCTTTCGAAAAATATTTCCTTGTCTCCTTTCTGCATTACCATGCAAAAATTGTGGGATCGGACTTTTTCATAAACCAGCAACGGTAACTCTTCGATCTCTTCCTAGGCTGGTTTGTTCTGGGTGGTAGTGGCTTGGGGCCAGGAAGAGAGGATGGGGATTGTTTCAGTAGAAGAGGAACTTTGTGAAGTTCTAGTGAAATTTAATCTTCCACGTTTAATGCTTGACGAGCTTTTCATACAAGAATGAGTATGAATTTTGTTTTATCATGTTTCACGTTATATCAAGTGACGCTTTGAACTTTGTTTCTCTTCTTGTCCAGTTTCATCATTAACTATTATTTCAGGCTGTTCACGGAAGGAAGCTACCCGACGACGGGAGAACAGCAACAACAACATAACATCAATTAAAAGTAACAATAACAATAACAATAAAAACAATAATAACAGTGTCAATAACAGCAGCTCATCATTAATATTAACAAGGAAGTCAAATGACTCAAGGTAAATAATTGATTTATACAATCCATTTGCATTGCATCGTCAGGATTTAGAAACTAAGTCTTTAAGTGATTGGGATTTGCTGTTTTCATTGACGAATAAGTATAAAATATGCTTGCTTTGATGTTTTAATCAGCTACTTCGTCAAATTATAAAAATGCTAAATGTAAAAATGTTACTTTTTACTTGACGTGCAGTTTTTTGATTTCTTTTTATTAGAGCTCAACTGACTTTGGAAGATACGTTAACATCCTTAGACGAATCAATTTAAATTACCTGTAAATATAAGAATAACCACGCATATAAATGCTGTAAACTTTCCTTCCAGCGTCCATAAAATTATTCATACTGGTGCTGCCTTATGGAAAAAACTAAACTTTCTATATAACTTATCGGGCTTTTCAGATGCAGATTTGGTGCAGTTGTTGCCGGCAGGCCATTCTGTCGGAAGTATCCGTACTCGTCGTCCACTCATGTATGTATTTTCCGGTGGAAATGAAGATGCCGCTTTCTTCTCAGTGAATGGTTTTTCGATACTACTTGATGGAGGTGATCAGAAGGTTGTCCCATACTGGAATTTGATTCGTAATTATGATAAAAGTAAGTAGTTCTGTTGCCATTTAATTTACCAGTTTTTGCCTGGTTACCTATTTTGCATCTATAATATATAAATGAAAAGATAAATAAGTCAAGCATTACCACTAATATACTTGAGTGGCAGTACTCATAAGTATTAACTTACTTATCCGCTTACTTATCTGGTTTATTTTCCTTATTTACTTATTTATATTTTCATTTGCACATTAGAAGAATTAATTGAACTTATAAAAATCTCGAATTTGGGCGGTTTTAGTGAAAATTTGATAATTTGTTCACTACTTTTTATCGGTGGGATATCGATCGCCTATTCAAAGTCACTGATAATGTTGTCTACTGCTGCTCACAGTAATTTAAATTAAATTAAACTTATAAGAGGTCTTACTTGTTTAAATGAATCTTTTTGTACGAAAAATCTTTTGTGTCATATTCCTGTGATATTCGGTGTATTTTGACATTTCCTTTGCTACAATTGATTATAGGAAATGTGAAAAAAAATTTCTGTTGCCCAATTAATTGTTTTTTTCTAACTGCAGTATCAGCGGCAATAGTTACTCGTGTAAGTCCAAAATGTTTGCAAGGAATCTCAGCGATTTTAATGCGAAAATGTTTGCAAGAGGTACGTTACTGACATCTTGTCAAGCATATTTTTCAACTAAGTCGTAGATTAATGAGGAGCGTAGCTCTAATACCTTTTTTTGTTTCTACTGATTGCCTTGAAAGAAAGTATTCGAACTTACAAAGTACTGTATATGGGTGGGATAAATGCAGAAATGGTTTCGATGTGATAAAAGGCAGTAAGGAAGTTAAAAGTGAATAGCTTTTACAAGATCTGCGAAGTATCGAGTTAAAATATATTATTGAAAATGCTATAATATAAAGTCAGTCAAGCTAAATGAAACTTGGGCAATGAATTAAGAGCAAATCTGCAAGTATAAGTGCCTTCGCATATCCCAAAAGGCAGGGTTAGTTTCCAGTGTAAGAGTTCAACTATTCCCAACAAATAATATTACGTAGGAAATACAAGTAAATATATGTATTGATCCTGGACAAAGGAACATAGTTTTGCGCACAGTTAGGAATAGAGAAGAAGAAGTAAAGGACAACATTTCAGTGCCATTAATTTCAGTGCCATCCAAATTTTGGTTCTTTGATTTGTAATTTGCCACCTTCAAGCATAACATATGGAGACAGTGAAGCTGCAAAGATTTTGTACACAATGCATGAGGGTCTGCGTGCGGAAGGTCTGAAACCGATTGAAGCTTTTGCTAGTACAAAGCTAGAAACAATAACTTTATATGAGGTTAGTTCTTTAATCAAACCAGTCTTTTAATCCTTTCATTGCTTTTTGGTTTGTCTCTTCCTTGCTTATCTTATTTTCATAACCTTGGTCGTTTTCATCGTCAGAACTATCGTATTTGCTATGAAATTAAATGGTGGAACAGGAAAGTTAATAATCAGAAAATTTCTTACAAAATGCGATAAAGTATGAAAAATTTTTAATATTCCATTACATTTTATTTTCAATGAAATTAAAATTTTGTAAAAATATTCAATAGTTCATTCCTCTCTATACTATATCTCTTCCTCTCTATACTGTACTACTGGTTTAGGTACAAACGATTTCTGTTTCTGCAGTTGTGCAATTTGAAATTGGTCATTTTCCAGGTAATAGGAGAGGGCGCATTGCGTATGATTGTACTAAATCCAGAACGTGGTTCGAAGGATCTGACTTCGCTCATACATGCTCTAAAAACCGATGAAAATATTGAAAAATTTGCCGCCTTAACATCACTAGCACTTCTTTTGGTTTGGCATCCATCAGATCATACATTGCCAGTATCTCGTATTCTTATTACTGGTGAGCGTATTTTGAAATATCTTGAAGTCTTCGTTTTCGTTATTTCTGAGTTTGGGAGATTTGTTGAATCATATCAGACATCAGATTTCATACATTAAACATTTTTGACTAATTTTTGAAATGGCTCCTCAAACTAAAAAGGGAACAGAAGTATGGTTTTTTCAGATCCGTTTAAAAGATAGCTTGGAATGGCCTGCTATTTCAGTGAATTTTGTAGTGTTACGTTTTTTTTTCCAAACGTTTAGGATTTATTATTTCCATATTGTCCTTATTTAAGGCTCCTGTCCACTGGACAAACTTTATGCATCGCTGGAAAAATTGAAGAACGAGGAATACTTACGTTACTCACAATTTACGCAAGCCATGAAAGAGAAATCATCGACTGCTCGTCCAGGGAAAATAATACGAAAACCTACACCTAGTATGTATATAGTACGATTTCTTTTTCAAACCTTCAAGACTTATTATTTTTACATTTTCCTTATTTAAGGCTCCTGTTAAAAAGATAATTTGGGACAAAAAGAAATCGGTAACCCTGCTACCATGTATTTAGTATGTATTTGTCACAATTTTAAAATATCGAGTGCGGTGATTGAAATTGTCAGCGATTCAGCTATTTATCGATAAAAAATGATATAGTTACATCTTTTTTGTTGTTATATATTCTTCCAATGCATTGGAAAGTTTGTTTCACACCACAGCAGCATAGTTAGGGAAAAGGAGGAGATAATCAGTGTAATTGAAGGGAAATACTTCAGAATTTCCGAAACTTGATTGGGGAAACTAATGGTGGTTTTACTTTCTACTTACGGAATCACTCCTAAAAATAGGACCTTTATTAAGTGCATATATTTCTTCCCGTATTTTAACACTCATTTTCTCTAACTTTTTCTTTTTTATAATTTTAACACTAAATATTATAGCAAAAAATCTCCCCAGTTTGTCATTTTCGCGTCCTGTGTCGCTGAAAACAACAGTTCATTCTGCAGCTGGTGAACCTATGAAAAAAGTGGTTAGGTTGGTTTTCTTTTCTTTAGTCATAAATTCCGATTCGATTTCCTCAAGAAGCAAACTCTGATCTCGTTATCCGGCATCATGTTTTGCGTATTCGATTCAGTTTTCGATTCCAGTTTCTAACGGATAATTTATTTACAGACAGCCATTGGCACCACCGCGACATGTTGCGAGTGGAAAGAGACCAATCACTGAACCAGCAAAGGCATCTGCTGTAAGCAGTAATAAATCTCACACCCTAGAAATGAAAATAGGAAATAGGCCAGGAAAGTCTAGACCGAGCGATGCAAAAAAAATGCTGCTCAGGAAATCAAGCTAATAGAAAAAGGAAAAACGAAATTAGTTGATAAAGTTGAAGTAAGAACTCCAATAGCAAAAGTAAGTTCACTTTAACTTCTTTGTCATTTATATTTGCATCATTAGAGTAATTAATGAAGCTGAAGTGTATAGTTTTGCTTGATTTGCATAAGTACTTGGAATATTTATGATTATACAACTCTTTAAGGAAATTTTGTTTGTTCTTCCTAATATTTAAAGATTTCTTGGTTTTGAATTGGTCGCTAAAGCAAATCATATCTGCATTTTGATGGAGAACTTCCAATTTTACTTCCAATTTACTTTCAGTTTTACTTCCAATTTACTTCCAATTTTACTTCCAACTTCCAATTTTCTTATTTAACAAATGTTACTGTTTGAGATGGAAGCTCAAAGTTCAAATTCGGTTTCGACAGAGGTACAGCCTGCTGAGGTGCTGCAAAACCCAATGGCGTCGACTGACCTACCATCTTTGAGTAACCCGCAAAACTCAATAAGTCCATCATATCCCGACCACATTTTTAAAGTGGTACACTCTTTTGAAATGGAAAGTAAAATTCCCACATCTCCCGAAAGCCCACAAATCTCCGATAGTCCACAGATGCCCGAAAGTCTACAAATGTCTGAAAGTTCAGTTGACCCACAAATTTCGGATGGTAATGGTTTGCTAGATGGCATTGAAGAACCGATGCAAGTACGTAGAATTAGTATGGACTTTTCGAGCGATGGCAAGAATTTTGTTGGCGATTTCATGGAAGATGCGGTGGTAAGTTTACCAAATTTAATAATACAGGCAAACAACATTATTTTGCAGTGAATCTGAAATTTGAAATGATTTTTTTTCTTTAATTTGCTTTGGAGTTATTGGCAATAAGCTTTGGATTTAGGGGATGCCGGGAAAAGGATTCGATTTGTTAAACTCGACACGACCATCACAGGACACGCCACTACTTGATTCTACACCGATGTCGCCATCAGCACCATCTCTTGCAGGAGCTGATGTGATTCATGATTCTTCAGATGCATTTGTTTCGAGAGAAAGAATTGCACATCATGATAATGAAATTGTTAGTAAAGCTGCAACGCATAATCAAGAAGTTATGCACAAGGAGAATTTCCAGGGTATCTTCGTCGTAATGAACTTTTTGTTTTTTAATTCTGCACTTTTTATTACTTTGTACTTCTCTTCATGTCTACCTCATTTCTTTGGTGTCTCTTTTGAGCTAGGCCTTCTATTTAAAAATAGTTCACTTTTTTAAGATATATTTGGTGATATCACTCCATTCATGGCTGGCCTAGTAACGGGGATTGTTGATGACTCTTCAACGCTGCAGACGGTAATATTTTTCTAACACTGATTTATTTGGACTCTTAAAAGGATAAATGGCTAAATAAATCTTTTTGAATTTATGTTTCTGACTAATTTTCGAATACTCTAACTTTGGTTCTTGACTAGGAAGCAAAAGAAAAATTCTCTTGAAAACATTCAGCATACTGAAATATAAATGATGTGTTAATCTAGTGAGGGACTTAACACTAGAAGTGCAAAACTAGAAATGTATTATACTATAAACAATTAAAAAGGAAAATCGGTGTTTTAGTTGTCGCCAGCCAATAACGATGAATTTGAAATGCTGAAATCTTTGACAACGACCGTCTCATTAAACAAACTCAATAATGGAACACCGGAATCCGTGCAGGACGACAAAAGTGAAGAGATTGAAAGAACGGTGATTTTACGTGAGGAGACTGAAAAGGCAAAGATTTCAAAGATGTTTTATTAATTTCATTGCGATTTTCTTTTGAAGATATCCATCTGTTGTATGCATCATGTTAGTTCGTTTGCATGAAGTAGCTTTTTCTAATCATCTAAACACAGATATCATCCGCTATCAAGCGTGAAGCATTCCCGACTCGAAGCAGCGGTTCGAGTGACTCTGTTACTGCTCAGGTTTGTTTGGGAATTCTCTTTGTAGTTTAGAAAATAATAAGATCAGCGCGGAGCAATGCTAGGTTTTGTTTATAACGATTTATGTCTTCGTGTGTGATTTTTCTTTACGTTCTAGTTTATTGATATAACCTACGGATGACGACCAAAAATTTTAGTGGAAAATGTATTTTTTGACCTGTTAACAGCTATTTACCAGAGCATTACGGAACTGAAATAAACATAATCATATGTTTATAGTAATCGAAATTTATATAATAGAATGTGTAAACTTTGACCAAGTTATGCTCTATAATTGATTAATTTTTAGCCGGATCCAGCCCTAGATGAGGTGATCGATTCGCTAGCCGAAGCATCGGAAATGGTTGATAATGCAAGAAAAACAACATCTGAATTAGAGCGTAATGTTCAAGGCCTAACAACACAAGTAATCAATAATACCCAATCAGCAACGGAAACCGCTGTAGCAGGTTGTATGGAACAACTGGCAACTATTGGAGATATATTTGATGGACGAGTCACCAATATAACTCATGATATCAATGATAATGCTAATGCGCTTGCGGTATACTTTAATCTATGGTTGTTATCAGTCGTTTAAATTCAGATATCCTCCAATGTATGGAGATTATGCGAAACACCAGTCGTTTTCTGATTCGTGTGGAATCTTTCTACTGGTTAAGCTGTTCTGCTGAGATGCCTGACTTTTTTACTATTGTTTGAGTGGTAGTTTGTTCGAATATTCTGCAAACAGAAGTTTTTTGTGCTTCGAAATTAATTTTGAGAAATAACAATTGATTGGCAGTTAGTGGCATCCCTCTCTAGCTGACTAAATAAGTAAAAAAAAAAATGTTTTTAAACTTCAAGGCCAAATTTTGATAAATAGCAGTCACTCGCTTTCCATTGTATCATCACTTTTGATTATCTTCGCAACATTTTACATTTTAGAATCAAAATGCCTATGAAGAAAAACGCGCGGAAGAAATGTACCTTCCACCGATGACGAGTACCGCTCGAACACGTGCGAAACCAGCCATTAATGGTGTAAAAACTAAGCCCAAACTATCCCAACCACTCTATTTTGATATTGTTTTCGTCCCACATCACGGTGCCCATCCTATGTTAAAAGATGAGGAAGCAGCAAAAGCATTCGTAACTAGTGTTCGATCCAGGTTTGCATGAGCGATTTATTTCCTGCAAATTTTTCGAAAAATCAGTCATTTACTGCAAATTTAACCTTTATAAGAATTACAGTTATAAATATAGCGATGATTGTATTAAAGTTCTGTATTGTATCTTTTTAGACCATGTTGAATCGGATATGTTCGAACAAAATTCTCTAATATTCTTACACATTAACATCTTTAGCATCTTTCTATGAATGTAGGTTGTGAAAAAAAAAAAAAAAACACTCTGAATACTTCTTGTGATTTACTCCGGTGTATATTATTCTTATCAGAGCTGGTCCCACTAAAATTACTTTGATAGAGACTTTGATAGAAATTTTTTTGATAGAGATGCGGCCGAAAACCTCTTACACTGATTTACATCTTGCATTGATTAAAGTATGTTGATGGTGATGTTGCTGTTTTTGTTACCTAGTGTTCGTGTTTCTTTTAGACGTTACGTGATGAGTGGAAAAGAGTCAATACGAACATATTTTATCGACGGTCTTATTGCTGGTAAAGCAGCATGGAATAAACCAGGTTAGCTACAAATAAAACACACGGATGTGTTCAATCGTAATATATTTGTTAAAAAAAGAAGTCAAGAAATAGGAAGAAATTACTGAATGATTTATAGCTTTGTCTTTTTTTTTTTTTTTTTTTAAACTAAAAGAACTGAAAAAGAAAAATTTCATAAAAGTAATTTTTTGCTGTTTTTTTACGTCGTTGTTTCGCACAGTTCTGAATTTGTAGAGCTTGAGGTGGATGTGCTTCCAACACATGATGTCGATGAACTGACATTGTATAACCGTGAAAAAGTGGGTTTCTACTTTTCTATCTGTAACAGATATACTACAATTGAAAGAGTTTTTCTTTTCACTTTTCACTTCGTCTAAAATCCAAATACTCCAGCTTTATGAGGACAGTGACGTTAGCGAAGAAATAATATGAGAGAACCCAGACATAATACAACGGGGAACAGAAGCCTATGGGGAGAATGGAAAGGACTGAACTATATGGATACGAAACGAATTGAAGCATGTAGGATGAAGTGGGAAAGTGTCCGGTAAACTAACAGGAGTAGGTTAGATTAAAGAGTTTTCCGCAAGCATCCCAAGTTTTATTCACAGGATGTGCTGTCATAAGTTGTTTAGTGTAAGTGGGATTCTTGCTGCAGGTTGAAGACAAGTTTTTTATTGACTTTTACGTTCTCTACCTTTTTAGAATATCGAGATTTGTTTTCTCTGAAATTGTTTCTAAATGCCTCCATTTTTGACATTTCTCTGCGAATTTTTTCAATTGAATCGTACTTTGCTGATATCAATGGTTTTCTATATGTTCCTTTTCAAGTTTTGGTCTTCCATTCTGTCCTTCATGCAATGTTTTTTGATCTTCATTTGTCCTTCCAGTTCTAGACTGATTTCAGTCAACCAATGCAATTTTGCATGTACTTATAATATATTTCTTGCTTTTTCAGGCCAATGAATTAGCCGAAGCGGGTATCAGTTTACGTTGCTCGGTTGAGCGCTGTACGCTGAGGCTATCCAGTGGTAGTACTGATGATATTTGTGCCGCATTCAAATTCGAAATATGACTGTTTCTAACCCAAGCAAAGAATCTCGTCTGAAATAGAATCTTTTTCAAGAGTCTTTTTCACTTTGTTAATCAGAATCTCCTATATCATTTGTCGACACACACAAATATTTATCATTATTTTGTTACTTAGCTGCGCTACTTCACATAATTAGTTGTGAACTTACGAGAATCATGGGAGCAATTTCGAAAATGCAACTTTTTTTCAAAAATTCACTAAAGAGAAGTTCCATAAAGTTTCTATAATCCATCTCTAAATCTAAGCTTTCTTTGTCTGGAGATATCTTTTAAATGACATTAAAAATCCAAACTTTAGTAGGAATATGACATCCAATGCTAAAGAATTCGCTGAAAGTGTTCTAGAAGAATTTTATCTTAATAGTCAGTTTAAATTTATGAAATCTCAAAACTGTTTGATTGGAATATCAAACTGCGCTATGATTATTTAATACAAAGTATCGAAACATCAAGGAATCAAGAATATGGCCGTTCTTTAAAAAAAAAAGTAGAGACGTGAGTTATGTGCTTTTTGAATCGATGTAGTTTTTGTTTATAACTTTCAACAGTTTTCATAACTATCCAATAGTAATAATTTACACTTTGATTGCTTTGAAAGCATTTACCTTCTCAAGGGCACAACGTTGTTTTTCGGAAGTAAAAGGAGTTTTGAGTTGTCAGTGAAGAGCAGATGTGTAAAAATTCTACTACATCTTTAGACCATTTTTGAACAGTGAAGAAAACCTTGTTATCTTTCTAGCCCAAATCAAGTAGGATCTGAATAAAAATTAAATTTTGATGTACTTGTCAGCTTTGATCAGTATCACCACCTCCTTGTTTCTGAAAGTCGTTGAAAATTTATGCGCTTTTTCTTACCACTATCATGTTCTGCTTTGCAGTGTATCAAATTCATGAATTATTATACCTTTCCATTTCTTTCTCCAAACATTTTCTACTTATATCATTAATTTATCAGCATTCTGTGAAGTTTAGAAATTGGATAAAGAGGAACAAATGTTGTTCATTCAGGTTTTTTTGTGTTTTTAAAATGGAAATCCTGTTCTTTTACATCTCTTTTTGGTGTTTGACGCACTTCAAAAATTCCGAAAGTATTGAAGTTGTGCCGGAAACATCGGGAGCAACTTGTTAACATATTCTCAATAAATTTTCTTTGGGGGAGGTTGATTTTTGTTATTTCATAAGTAATTGTTTAGCTAGATTATTGTTATTCCATAAATAATTGTTTAGCTATAAAAGCTGTAGTTGTTTAGCTATGAGTTCCATAGCCAGAGTACTAGGAAGATTTTTCTCCAAGAGTGATGGATTAGAGAAAATTAGAATCCAGGTAAATGTTATATTTTCGAAGTTATAGTATCATTTTCTGATGCCAATTGTGTTACAAATTATGTTCGCTTTGCCTAAACAGCGTTCGGTCAAATAACATGCCAAATGTCATGAACGAGAATAGAATCAACGATATATTCGAGGAGGGTACGGTGTAAAGTTTCGGGATTTATGAACTGTTTTGGGAGATGGAGGAGTAGTAAGTAAATAAAAGAAATTCTGGTGAGGAAGTTCCTCAAATTCCACCACAGTAAGTTCTTTTCGTTTCCTGAGAAAAAGTGATTTCTGTTATGAGATTTCTATCAAAGGACTCAAAATATTTCTGTTCCAAATTGAATTTTCCGTAGTACAGATATAGGAGATCAGTTTTTTGGGTTTAAGAATCATGATTTAAAGATTTCAGGTCAAGTTAGTTTATCGGAAGGACAAAGGAAATTTTTACAAATAGATGGGCTAGAAGATTTATACAAATGGAATCAAAAGAGGTTCGTCGCTTTGACATTTACCGTCGACGTTATGAAATGGCGGACAGCAACTTGGTTGACTGCAACTCGATAACAAATCTCCAAGTCTTAAAACCAAATTTTAGACAATTTTAGGGGGAGCAAATTATTAGGAGTAACTGTAAATGAGAGAGTTACAAGTAGAATAAACTCTATTAAATATTAGTTTACTAAATGTAGTAGTTGGAATTATTTGAGTCGAAATCCAATGGCGTCAATAAACGTTAAGTAAAGGATTGATTAATGTCGTCGCTGTTGCCATCAGCCATAATTTTATGTCTTAATCATTGGTACTTCTATTCCGTTTTTATCACCACTACTATCATCAATATTACCATCAACAAGTAAAAAAGTATACTTGCCACAGGTGCTACCATCTGCGCATAAACGATGCTTGAATTTAACTTTAGCACACCTCGGGTCCACTGGACATGCTTGTAAATTACATGTTGAGAATTCTTGAATTTTACCGCTGGAATTTTCCTCTGTAATTGAAACGCAACACATCATGCCATTGATATATAAATACCAGTGCTGAAGAACAAAAATGAACCTGCACTGGGCAGTTTTACATGTCCGAACCCTAGACTGTATGCCGCAAGCACCACATGATCGAGAACAATGTGACCATTCTCCCCATTCGGACCAGATATTAGTTCCAATTATCGTTGTACGAGGAGCTAAAATTTTATTAAGTCTTCTGGAAAACTTTCTCTTGACTCGTGATAAATTCTCTTAAAGAATAGCTAATATTCCTACTTCTGAACTATTCAACGTGATAAATTTGTGGTCCTCTTAAAATTTCAATGGAAAAATTTTTAACCAAACGATTGTATTTGATTCATCGATTTCAGCCAAAGATATGTGATCTTTCAATGACAAGCATTCATTCATTGTATGGTGTTATGCAGCGATCTTGCAACTTAAATTGCAAATAATTTAAACCAAATAACTGAGTCTGTAAATCTGTCGTACCTGCAGTTGTCGTTTTGAGTAATGCAGAAGTCGTTTGGGCTGGTTTCGTGGCTAAAATTTGAAAAGATGATAAAAAATTACAGATATCTCTGTCAAATTTAATTGTGAAAATATGTACGGCACGAACTTTTTCGAAATTTGAGCTTGAAACCGGTATCTTCGCCTGTTGTTGCGCGGAATATGATGACTGCTTGATATTTTGCCGAGACTAATGAATCCTCTGGTTTATCATAACAGCATATCCTGAGATTTCGTCTTCTCTTTTCATTTACTTTCTTACCTATTCTTCATTTATTCATACTTATTATTTCTCATCTGTGATTATTTACGAATTGAAGGATGCCATCCTTTAATGAAATCATAGTTAATGAAATCTGCGACACATCGTGAACCATATCTTGGAAAGAATAAGCATTGAAAGTATAAAATATTTTTGTATACCAAATCGGATAGTTCAAACGTGTAATATTGAGTCAATAAGTGGGCAATGGTATCTATCTTTTAGCCCAATATATATCCGTTTATATTCGTATTATTTGAACTTTCCGTAACCATATTTGGTACCATTTCTTTTGAAGAGACAGGAAAATATTGGACTACCACGAATATGTGGTATCTATAGAAGTAGAAATACAGATATGCGGCATAATGGTGCATATAACATGGAATGTGCACGCTTAGGAAGCATATTAATGCACTAAATCACAAGTTTTCATCTATGGGAACTGTGACTAATTATCAAAATTAAGCGTATATTCTGTCAAATCTAAGAGGTATTAAATGTTGGCTTAGTTTCACACCAAAATACTGGCCGCATCTAAACCTTAAGGCTATGTACATGAAAATTGACCTAAGATCGATGTATCCTCAAGCATAATGAATCCAATAAGATGTTGGGTCCAAAAAGGTTAGGAACTACTTATATTCCCGATTTCGAAAACTTAGAACTTGGCATGAGAAAACTTTCATAACAGCAGAAAAGACGGATCCAAAATACCTGTAACCAGTATTAGCCAGATCACTGCCAATTTTCAATTCGATATAATCAACACAAGTACTGGAACAAAATATGCCGAAGTCGTCTTCGAAACTGATTTCAATTCTTTCCTCTGAAAGTAATGTAAGATGGAGAAATTGTTAGTTATAAAGATCGAAAAAGTATAAGTATGCATTTGGAATCTATGTTTCCTTTGAATTCTTGAGGTTGGAAAAGTTCATTAACCTTTATCGGTTTTGATGAGCCAGTTACACATGATATTCGCCGGATATCCATCGGGATATCCTGGTGATTCAAGTTGTTGCCAGTCAATTTCAGCTCTCAGCGTCCCACCACATTTGCTATTCGCTGAAGCATTCTGCTAAACCATTTTTGTGACGTAAGCAAGGCAAAACATAAAACTAATTTTATGATCTTTTAACTGGCAGTTATGGAAAAATTGTTCTAGACTTCAGAACCTGCACAATTTTGAAAGCAATTTGAATCAACTCGTAGCATTTTACTTGATGAAAAAAAGTCACTTTATTTAAAATGTAAGGAAAAGATTAAATTTACATTCGCTGGCACCATGCGTTTCGCACTTTGAACCACCAAAACCACTCGGACAAAGACAGCTTTTGCAATTGCTGGGATTCAGGAAACCACCATTTTTGCATTCATCTTTTCCTTTACAGTAGCCTATGTAAATCAAACAGTTAGATGATTTTGACTTTAAATCTGAATTATTCAGAGAAATTTGCATATAGTTTGAATTCCTATCCATATTTCAAAGGGAAACATAAATCAGAGTTACCTTTGCAATAGGCCTCATTGATTAATTTGATATTGTAAAAGGATAGTGAATCTCGTTGACCGATTGTCATCTGATAGAAAGGATCCCTACAATAAGCATCAGTTCAAACAATGCTAAGAAGCTATATAGCCACTACCAATTAATGAAGTACCTCGTCAGAAGAGTCTTGCTTTTCTGGTCCACGCTGAATGCTGTGGAACCATAGTGCATAATAGAACCGAGATCGTATGGTACATCGAAAGTTGTAATTTCATTTTCGCTTCGTTTCAGAAACTCGCTAATATACGATGGTATTATATACTCCTTCACTACCGTAATATATTTTTCAGCATCAGGTCTGGATTGCTCATGCCATAAGCCTAGTGTATGGCCAAGCTCATGCACTATAGTGCCTATCTAAAATGCTATAAATTCCAAGAAATATTTGGATTTAACAAAAATTGCTACTTAGTAAGTGAACGTGAGCGTACCTCTAAGAACCTTTCAAAGGGTGTTTCATTAGTGCTTTGCTGCCTAAAATTATGAGGTAACACAAATGAAATCTTACCCTTTCACATCCTTTGCCAATAGATACTCCTTGCTTACCTCCGAAACGACCGACCATTGAATAACATCTGCAATACTTTCAAGGATACTTGTACTTTCAAGGAACGAATCAGTAAATGGATTCTCTTCTGTGGTAGTTAAAGATAAAGGATGCCGTCTATTTTTACAAGTACGAAGCAGACTTACCCATCACCTTCAAAAAATTCGAGGTAATCACCGCTAGCTTCTTGGTCATTCTCAAATGTAATGCATGTACTGCTTTGCCATATTTCCAGAGCTTTCAGAATCTGGCTGATATGTAGAATATCTCAAATAACAATCTAGTATAAGTAATGAACTAGGGGGAAAAAAGAAATAACTTTCTCTTCCATGTAAAATGAATCCTGGTAAAATCATCGACTAACCAAGCGATTCGTCAAACCGATACTTTATAGGAAATTGGAACCATTTAGCCTCAGGATCAGTAGCAAAACGTTTCCTTTTTCGAGAAGCTCCTTTAAATAAATATAATGGAGCATCATGGGCCATACGTTGTCGACCTTTCTTGTTTGCACTATCTTTGCTGGCCAATGAATCCAGTATGGTCATTGCTTGCTTCGTTGAAAGGAATATGTCTCCTACAAACAGTATGTCAAAAAATTTTATTCGAACGTATTGTATTTAAATAGTCTAGAAATTGTAAAATTAATTCTAACTAAACTTTACTATCAAAATACCAACCTTCAAATAAGTACGGTGTTAATTTACTAATTGTTTTTGGCTGTTCTGCACTTATTGAAACATCCTTTTTGCTATCAACAGCGCTCTGCAATATAACTAAATTAATAGAAATAGTTGTTCTGGAGAAATGTCAAATATCGATGATCAAAGTCCATCTGAAACACGCTTCAAAGTTTCCAACATTTTTAACTGCAACAACACTTACATAATATTTAAGGCTGCATGGGTCAAAATTTTTGATATATTCAAACCTACATCTCGGCTGAATACACGATTTCCGTAAGCCTGGCTATGTGCGATTTCTTTCATTTGTAGCAACAGTGAGCTTACTACATTAATATGCTTGTCATCGTAAGCAAAATGTTTCCGTAGTTCCTAAAATATTTCTTGTACTTTTTAAAATTTTTGTGAAAGGAAGAAAAAAGACAAAAGAAACTCTGGCCATTATCAGTATTGGCATTTTTCAAACTATCAAATATTTTTATAGCGCGTTCCACAGGTAAAAATCTAGAAGTCTAGGTGATGTAGCACATAGTGCACGTAGTATAAAAAAATTAAACGCAAGATAAGAGCTACATAAATAATACTTCCGTCGTACGTTGTGATGCAATGTCAATGAAATACTATTTCAGTACTTGCAGCCTAAACTTTTGCATAAAATAGCTTAAATCACACCTTCCAACAATGTATTCAATTTGCAATTCCCACTCTCATATTAGCATCAATTCAAACTTTCCTCTTATCTATGTACAAAAAAATCTCCATTTCAATCACTTCTGCTAATCTAGCATCAAAAAATTAAATAAAAAAAACATAAAGATGTCGCCCATAGAGAGAAGATTCGGTTGCATAAATCGGAACTGTCAGGTTATTATTAATACACTATACAAGATCCTCCAAAAGAATATAGTTAAGGCTGTGCAAAGAGACAATAGCTTGAAGTCGGAAAGCTGGAGACACTTGTTTTGAAATGTGAGGTGGATTGATAATTGTCTCTCAAATCATATCAGAGAAGTTATGAAGGGAGAAATTTTGCATGCACCCAATAGCAGAATAAGGAAAAGACTTAAATATTCGGAATAGAAATGAATTCTAATTCATTGCTCAGAATTTCTAACCGATTGAGAACCGGAAGAAAAGCAAATGAGTGGTCAAACATCAGCAAATGAGCCACATTCAACGAAGAATGGAGAAAAAAGTTAAAAAAAGAATTTCTTGCAATATTTCCATGAATTCATTCATTCTCCTTTTGAAAGTCAAGTTTCAAGTTCCCTACGACGATCTTCGAATAATGAAAGAGTCAAAGGCTCACCTGTTTAACACCTTCAGCCTTGGTGACATCTTGATTTGTTATGAAAATTACTGTAATTTGTAATATGAAGTGGAAATTTCCGGAGAAAATTCGAGCGACAGCCATTTTGATTGTGATATGAACTGATGTCGAATCATACAAAACGAAACCAAAACTTGTCCGTTGAAAAAAAAAGAGTGGGTGATAAGATACGGATATGGAAAGAAAAGATGGTAAAATTTTTCTTTCTTTTTGTCTGTCCCACCATCATGCGGATCAAATCGACAACAAAGTTCACTCTTGTGATAGGCGAATCAATGAAGCATTTGATGAATGAGAAAAATTCCTGCAAGAAAAATATCTTTCTAGTTGAAAACGTTATCTCAAGAACAAGTTCCAGACTAAAAGATCAGCATAAAGATCTCCTATGTCTTTGAACTTAAGCACACGATATGTATGTAAACTGACCCTTCCTCACAGGTCATTAAATGATATTGTAGAGTCACGAATTAACCTTTTTTCAATATTAGAATCGTGTAAGTGCCGAACCATGCAGGATGAAACAAAGACCATAACAAATAAGATGCATTCTTGATCACAAATCTACAACACAAGCCAATAAATCATGTTTTACTTTTTACGAGATCTGTAACTACCGTTGATCCCAAAAAAAACAAAAAAGAAACGAAGTCCGTCAAATGGGTATCACGTATTGGTTTCGAATCATGATCTTTGAAAGATGTTCGCAACTCATCACGAAATTGATTTTTTGAACTGATTTTTCATACATTTAATACTCGGATCACTTTATCATTATAACTAAACAGAAATAGATCGGCAATGTTATCGTCGTCGCAGTTGTGAGTAGGATAATAATGCAAAAAACGGTAACGTGAAGTCAAAATCATTATAACAAATAGAGAATGATATCATTTGCGGAATCCCAAAAATTCAACTTGACAATATATGATTTCGATGAAAGTGACAATATAGAAATAGTTGGAGAACTTCAAATACGTCTAGTCGGCATCATCATATCCACAGCATGCAAATTGGAATTTTCATTGTGCTTATGTAGTTGGGAAATTAAGTAACTCTAGTTCATCATCTCATAATATAATTAACATCAAAGGAATACGATAAACATTAAAAATGAGGTTAGCAAAAAATGTGTCAAGTTTAGCGTCGAGCAAGCCAGAGCTTCTAGATCGCGTTCATAGATCAGTACGTTATCGATCATATGCAAAAAACCATTGATACCAGCTTTTTCACCACCCGGGATTATACGTGCAACACGGTTACCACGAGGCCAATAAAGTTCGAAAACTGCAAAAAACAATTTCCTGAACCTCGATGATATAATTTTTAGAAGACAACAGTTTCCAAACTATCTTTCGCAGATTAATTCAAGTTAATAATATACTGATAAGAATTCATTATGTTAAGCACAAGATTTGGTAATATACTTAAAAGAACTCATTATGTCAAGCACAAGACTCAGCATAGAAATGTTTTTTTGTCTCATATTATAAGACGTCATCACAAAATTCCTTTAGAACAATGGTTACCAACCATAGTCAGCGAGGGCGACGGCGCAAAATTATCAAATGTCTGATTAATTAATACGTTAAAAGTTTCGGTTAAAGTTTATTTTCAAATTAACAGAATCCATTATTTTTGGGTAGTAGAATCTATTACTAATAATCTATTATTACAAATTAACAGAATATTATTATTATATCTATTATCTTGTGATCCCTGCTACAAATAAAGAAAATAAACTGGTTCTTGAGCAAGGAAAGTTGGGAGTGTACAAATTGTTTTTTCAAGTAATTAATTGGACGAACAACGTCCTCTTCGGCGTATCACCACTTTTTCATCGTTCATCATCACGTAAGTTCTCTCTCGCAGATCAGTGTCCATAAGTGCAAGGCCTTGAATAATATGTCGCTTAAAGACATATTGAAGTGCTAACCAATGTTTACCATCTGTCATTTTGTACTTCTGCGAAGTTGATATCTGTAGAAGTCAATTTGTTTTATATCAGATGATTTAGGTGGAAGAGTGGTAAGAAAGAAAGCATGTAAATGAAGGAATAAATTGGGAAAACAATAACAACGAAAATTAATAAAGCATTACAAGCAATACCTTATCCCAAGCTTCGTTAGTTGGTACGAAAAATGTGAAATTTTGTTGTGGTGTTAGAACTTGCCACGGATCCAAGGAATACCGTAGTTGCATGTTTTGAAGCATTGAATAAGATGTCCTGAAGAGACAGAAGATTTTCTTCATAATTACTGTTAATCATGACTGGTACTTACTGAAGGCTGGAATCATTTCGCACTACTTCATACAGCGTCTGATATGGTACCCCAAGAACACGGTCGATATAATGTACGATGCCATTTACAGCTGCGACATTATCCACCACAATTGCTGCTCGTACACCGCCGCCAGTAATATAATAGGCTGGAAGAACAGCTAACTTGCTGAGTAAGTAATGAATGGGAAGAATCATTAGTGAAGACTATGTTGTACAATATGCTCATTCAAACCACTTACTGATATTATTCCTGGGCCATTCACCCCGAATGAAATATAGTTGATGGATGCTGTCTACTGTGTTCACAACTGTCTCATTAGTGATTTCATTACTGGTCAACTCCTTATTGGGAACTATATGAAGTTTAAGGATCTGAATCACAAATTTTCATCAGAATTCCAATTGCCTTCACAAAATATTAAAACAAAAGAATTCTAGAATTCAGAAGAGCACCATAACAACAGCATAAGCTTTTTTGGTATAATGCAATCAAGTAATGGAAAATACACAAGGATAATTGAAACCTTTTCAAGCCAAATTCTATCCCTCAAAAGTCTTCTTTCGATATATTCTGGGATTCGCTCGAATGCCTCATTGTAGGGCGCAAAAAATGTTACCATACCACCAGTTGCTGAGAAATAATTGCGGACTATTTGTCCAATAGTACTTATATAACGAATTAAAGTTGTACAACGATTATTATCCATAATGAGCTGAAGAGGAAATTTTTGCCACGAAAAGTCAGAAAACATGGAATTTAAGTGATTAAACTGTTTTGATTCAAATACTCCATATGTTTTCATTGCTAACCGCATGAAATTTGTAAATTAACATTTAGGATAAATCAGAGGTTAGAATTATCGGAAGGGAAAGATGGACTGCACTTCGTCATAATTTTAAAATGAAGAAGTTAGGAAAATTAAATGAATGTATTCTTAACTTTCCAGTGAGAAAAAAAAATTGAAGCACTGATCATTTTGGCAAAATACTAATGTTTTTACATGATTTGGAAATGTTTCGAAATATATTCATAATTAAACCTCTGCAACTGAAAAAATCAATATAATCTTTAGATACTAAGTACTCGAAACTATTTTCAAATTATTATTGCCTTAGAGAGGTATACTGATTAAACGCCTCATAAAATTGACAGCCTACGAACCTCCATGTCTTTCTTGATTTAACTTCTGCTTAAGTTATGATTTATGGATCAGTTCAAATGTATTGCAGTAGAAAGTTAGACCTGGTCGATAGTATTGCTAACAATGCCAAGAACATTATCAATAATATGGACCACGCCATTTTGAACTGGAATATTTGGTATCACAATTTTAGCCCAAACTGCACCACGACGAAATTGCCCGTAACGTTCATGCACTTCAGAGACCGCGTAAACTATCAATAGGGTGTAAGTGGAAATGAGTTAAAATTTATCAGATAGAAGTTACTCAGAGACTTTGTTAGATGATTGCTACTGAAAGTAATTTTTGTGGTGTTTTGATTGTCATCATCAACAACACATATCTATTAGAAAATGCAATGAATGCTCAAAACCATCGATGAATGGCGAAATTCAAAAATAGTAATTATTTACTGGAACTAATTGTGCCGAAATTTCTAAATTATAAAATTAGAAAATAATTTATAATACTTACGATCCCACCGTCCAGTTCGATGGTCGGTAATGTTTCGCATACATAATCTTAGATCATAATTATCCTCAATAACATTGGCGGAGAAACGTATCGATGGATAATAGTGTATACCCCGATCGTATAGCCATGGATAGGTAAATAATACTCTATTTATACCTGTCATATGAGCCAGTAATACTTCACGGTCTACACGATTGCGGTCTATTACCTGAAAACCCTAAATTTTCTAAAACAACAGGAGAATCTGAAAATGAATGATATTGATTAGCTTTAATACAAAGATTGTTTCAAGAAATCTGAACAAATATATAATGATAAAATGGCTTAAATTTTAAACATTTCTAGATTTTTTATTGCTTTCCAGTTTGCATCAAAAATAAAAAATCTTCGCTCACTTCTAGTTAGATTTGAAATCAGAGTTAGTTAAATTTTGAATGATCTGTAGCTTGATTTTTTATTCAAAAAATGCTGGTACATACCTTCATAAATGCTTCATTTGTAGGTAAAAAAAAAGTGTGGAAGCCATTCCATGCCGAACTGCCAAAGATCGCCAAGGCAATATCCGGTACACGATCAAGCACATCCCTCAACTCACTGAAACAAATTTACAAATACTTCCACTTTTTGAAAAGAAAGATGGAATAAATACACATGTATCGAATTTATAAGCATTGCATGCTTTAGCATCTCCTTTGCACTCTTTACTCATGAGCAATTAATTTTCATTCAAAAGTGTTACGTAAGGTCACGGTTATTATAGGGTCGATCAAAGAAAGACATCTTGTCTTTATCTCTTATAAACGAAAGTGCGGTTCCCGGATATGGTCGATGTCCGATTGGTGTACAGATTTTGAATAGATATTGCTGACCATTGATAATAGCCCATTCGCTAGTAGCATGGTTGCAAAGCATTCCATTATTTGCAAAGTAGGACTAAAAGAAGACGAGAAGTCGCATAAAGTAAATAAGTGAAAGTGCAATTTAGTAGGCAAATAAAGAATCAAGCGGAAATTGGTTATTACTTATTTATTGATTTGTTAACTAATAGACAAATACATAAATGCTTGAATAAAAGGCATACATAATTTCCAGGATTATTTACAAACTGTGTTATGTACATATATCCGCTACTGACTGTACTTCGGATAAGTGTTTGTTTATCCCATTTTCGATTTTCACCAAATTCATAAATTTGTGTATCCACTAGAATAGAAAAGTTATTGTTTGGAAGTCAAGAATGAGTACAAAATGTTTTCATGACTAGGCAAAAATGTTTTCCGGATCGTGAATAGATGCAGAATGCTTTCGGTTTTTTTGGAACTACGCCATACCTCACGATAACTTTAAGTTTAATTAAATTCAAATTAGAAAAACGGAGGAAACGATATTAATTTAAACAAATTCCATTTTTACTGCCAAACTAACCTATATGACTCAGGACTTCTTTTTGACTAAAAGCACGGATATCTGGATTGTAGATAAAGACGTCATTAATTGGGGCAAAAACTGTGATGCGCGCATTTGAGTCTTTCATATAAGCTAGTGCAACTGTATATCGAGCGCATAAAGTACGCCACTGTAAAACGGAAAATATAAATGAAGAATGTTTGGATGATAAATTAAACATATGAGTTTTTCAAGTTTTTCAATTATAAAATGAAATATTTCACTCTCTTCATTCATCTTCTGGTCTTAGAATGATGTTAAAAGNTATGGCAGCCGTTTT